TGAATGGGTTCTAAAAAAGTTCAATAGGACGCGATGCGAAGTTGCATTGAATTTTCCCCGCTTTGAAAGACAGGCCACAAAATAAGTCGCAGAAGAAGAAATGCAGAAAATTTTGTTGAAAACGCCTATAGAACTCTGAACTCTTTAAACAGATTAACCATAAATTGTGGTTGCACATCAAAAAAGCAAGCGATTCAATATTAGATCTTCTTTACTCAAATAAATAAAGATGATTTAATTAACAATGCCCCTCCCACTCTAAATACTTTAATATAAACAAAGGTTACGATAAAGGACACAAGTAAATGCACATTACAGGATGTTAATGGTTAGAAGTGAACCGTGTTCTCCTTTTCTCCTGTCCTTCCTCCCAAAGATCCTACTCAACTATATTTTGAACCGTTGTTAGTTCATTTGGGAAGGATGGAGATGTAGTTTTACATGACATGTAGGATTAAATAATAAAAAATCAATATATTTAAATATGTTCAGGGGTGGGAAAATCAAATTATCCAGGACTACAACCAATCTCTATGAAATTTCTTTCATTACCAAGAAAAGTCATAGGATTAAGGATGCCCTCAGTAACTAACCAGATAAATTAAATGTTCCATAAGCAAACCAAATTTGAGACTGAATTGGTATGATTTGAAAAGGATTAATTAGCTGAACTTAAAAGATGGAAAATATAATGTGATTGTGTAGATGGTATGCAGTTGAAGGGTAGAGTGAATTTATTAAAGATGCAGGCATCCAATGAGTAGAATTTCCTATTTCCAAGCAAGCCAAATGGTAAAACCAAATTTGACCTCAACAACACTTAATAGTATTACGGTGGAAACCAAGTCCCATATGAAGACATACTGCAAGTTGAGTGCATGCCATGACACCAATTAGGTTCACATCAATAACACGTCTCCATGTTTGAGCACCATCAGTTTCATCATTATGAAATACTATTTTGCTGCCAATTCCTGCACTGTTGATACAGATATCTAATCCTCCATATGTTGCCAAATGCTTGCCAAAAGCCTTCTGTATGTCATCTGCTCATCAGCCAAAATGTGGGAAAATTGTATAAACATATAAAGGCATCAACTTATTCAAACAAATGAATTTGTAGAAGATACGAAGTAAACCCAAAAAAAATGTCGACACTCTGTGTTTGGCATTCGTTTGTTGTGATCATTAGTACAAATGCAACAATGCTTCATAAGGAGCCATCGACAGAAGGCATCCTAGCATTGTCTAAACATATAATGGCATCAAACTAATTCTAGTAAGTTTTCTGATAAATGAATTGGTGGAGGATATGAATTTTTTTCTCTCTTAATTATAATTTTAAAAAAAGAAGAAGAAAAGGTAAACATCTATACCTCAAAAAAGGGACACGTATATACCTCAAGTTTGCATCAAATGAAGTACTCTTTCTAAAGCCTTTTGTAACTACACTAATTTATAATCTTTCAGCAATTTTTAGTTATTGTGGAGGGAATAGAACAACCGCATCTTCAACAGAACATTTTCTACTTTTTATGAATTCGTAGTCTTTTTTTTATATATATTTTAGCTCTATTGGTGTACATGTTATTCCTTCCTTTCAAATTAAAGTCTTAATAAAAAAATGACTTCATGGAAAATTGGAGACCTATTTTGTAGCCTAGAAAGAGTATACCAAATAGACGCAAGAATTTCGGTGGAGTTCATCCTATTATGCCACGGCCAAAAGTTGCGTTCAAAGGTTTTTTGGTTTGTAAGAGTTTGAAAAGTTGGCATTGTGGTTTCTTCCTTAGATTTTTTTTCATAAAACTAAAAGCAATTATCACCATACCCCTTACAAGTATGAATGACCACAAGCTTCGAGTTGAATTTATGATCTCATAACTATACAAATGAAGAAATAGATCTAACTTTTAACAAAAGCTCAGGAGAAATGACAAAATCCTTGTAACTTTCATGGCAGTGAATACCCTATTCCCAGTAATAAACTCCGATGTGAACATTAAAACAACTATAGCCATGATCATACTATACAGCTTATTAGTAATGACAACTAGAACAGGAATCTAGCTATCAAATATAATATTGACGTAATTAACTTACAAGAGAGACATGCAATAAGGAGGGAAAACCACCAGAGTTTTTTAAACAAGAAAGGATCCAATAAAATTTATAAGATAGGAGATTCCACTCACTTGTGTTGGTAACATCACATCTTACGAATATTGCACGAGGAACCTCTAACTTAGGGTGAAGCTTGGCATTTTTTTGTTGGATAATGGATGCAACTTCCTGACCCTTTTCTTCAGAAAAATCAACGACAGTCACAAATACTCCCTTCTCTCCCAGAGCTAGGCAGAGAGCTTTACCTAAACAGGAATAACCACCAAATAACGAACACGCCATTGAGTACCAATCATTAGAAAATAATAATAAAATCACTGCATTTAAGAGAAACGAATATATTTTTGTTTAATTTTTCCTTAGTTCTCGAATGGCTCTGCGGTCTTTCCAATGCATAAAATCAAAATTCTAAGCTTGTGTAAGAAATCCTTTTTCTATTGGTTACAAACATACATAATAGAGTAAAAATTCAAACAAAATATACACAAAAAGGACTAAGAATTTTAACAATAAAAAAAAAGTACTAAAACACCACTGCAAGTGTACCAAACCTCTAAAGCTAAGAACAATAATGAATTTTAAAATTTTTCCCCATGATGCAATCAACATAATTAACATTCTGATAAAACCGTCCGCTTATAAATAGGGACGGTTTGCTCAATATTAAACCATCCTCCAAGCTGGCCGGAGAAAAGAAAAATACATGAATCTATACATTGTTGGATGATGAAAGTCCACGTCGGCTAATTTAGGGAACGATCATGGGTTTATAATCATGGAATACTATCTCCATTGGTTTGAGGCCTTTTGGGGAAGCCCAAAGCAAAGCCATGAGAGCTTAAGCTCAAAGTGGACAATATCATACATGGTGGAGAGTCGTGATTCCTAACTCCTAACGTTCATAATCCAATCTTACTATTCATCCACAGTTCAGAAGCTTGTAACCAAACGCTTGAATTAGTTCGATGCAGAAATAACCAATCACTCAACAACATGATTAAGACAAGACATCAACAATACAGTTAATAAATTAAATTCATTAACGGTAAAGTCATCACGTAGCAAAACCAGAAGCGCGCCAAACGAAAAGCAAGAATTAAGGAGATTACCAATTCCAGAAGCTCCGCCGGTGACCAAAGCCGATAATCCGGGTTTCAACTCCATACTCTGGTTGGAAATGGCTGCAGAACAAGTGAGAGGAGCTTGATGAAGCAAGCGAAATTGCTACAAACCTATTTCCGTCTCCCTAACGTGTCAGAATCTATATAAGACGTAGACCTGAGCGTGCCCATGCTGCTGATCCAGAATGGGAGAGATTAAGAAAATTAAGAAAAAATCAAGCAGTAGACGACGAACAAAACCGCTGAAGACAGGAGAATTTGATATTTACGGCCAATCAGCTGCTCATGAAAATGCCCAAAGCCGGCTGAGATTTGTAAATATCGAAGCAAGTTGACGTAGTTTACTGGCCTTGCATATGATCCATAAATGTAAAGAAAGTAAATGTTCTTTCAATAAAAGTGAGTGAAATTCCTTTTCTACCCTTTACTATTAAATTTTAATTTAAATAATATCCCTTCAGCCCTAAACTTTTAATAAATTATATTAATATACTTTTCAAATGTATCTAATAAATTTATAACATTTTCAACCATTTAAAAATTTTATAAAATTGTTTGTACATAAAATTAAAATTTTAGTGTATTAAATTAAAATAAATTGACTTAAATTATTACTAACTTTTTGGTCGTGATGTATAATAATAATAAAAATAATAATAATAATAATAATAATGGATTGTAATTTAATTTAATATTAATTGATAACAACTACATAAAATTGAATACTTTATGAGATAAATAGACCATTTTAATATTTTACAATAATATCACATCAAGTTATTATTATTATTTTTTTTTAATATGTACTATACTTAAGTGGAGGTTCAACCAGTCAACGTAAAAGACTTGCTCAGTTACTTTGGAGCGGACATATTTGTTCACTAAAAATCTTGAAGTTGCCTTGACTCGGTACTGTCATGGTCTTGGAATTATTAGATTTGAAAGGTTTTATGACAACGGTCATCTAAATATTGAGGATGCTAAATGAACACAACTCTCCACAATGATATGATATTGTCTACTTTGAGCACAAGCTCTTATAACTTTGCTTTGAGCTTTCCCAAAATGTCTATTTTCTAAATTAGCCGACGTGGGACTTTCATAGGAGAAATCCCGAGTCAATAACTTACACTGTAGAGACAAATCTTTAACGTAGACTATGCTTACCGGGTAAAACGTCCATTGAATGGAGAATTAAATAGAAAAAATGGTAACATTTTTATTTCATTCATGTATATTATTATTGTACTTAATTGTTCAAATTTAATACATTTAATTATTGAAAACTGATAGTCAAATATCGTTGACTAAAAAACCACACCATCTCACGTGCTTTCTTGATTGTGTTCGTTTTGTCAAAGTTTATTTATTTATTTATTTATATATTTATTATTAATATAAAAAATCAAATAATTTGTAGGAAAATAGAAACAATTTTGACAAATCTTATAATTTTTTTTTACGAAAATTGAAAATTTTAAAATCTCAACTTATTTTGTTTTGGTTGAGGAAGTTATACATTTATGATTAAGAAATATAAAAATTTTAATAAATTTTTATTTTAATGAAAGTTTTAAAATATTTATGAAAATATGAATATAATAGTGCAAAAAATTGAAAGAATATGATTCTTTTTTAAAAGCAAAATTAAAGAGTATTATTTATTTATTTATTTATTGTAATTTAGAGAAAATAATATACATATGGCAAATTTTGTTGGAAAATTTGTAGGTTTTATTTATTTATTTATTTTATTTTATTTTATTTTTTTTGTCGAAGATAAAAATCGAAATTTCTTTCCCTCATGAACTCCCTTTCTTCATCTTGAGGTCAGGTACACACCGAACTCTTAATCTCTCTCTGAATTTGACCCTTTTTGCTTGTTCTCTTAATTTTTGTTGAATTTGTTTAGCGAACGGATCTTCTGTATCTGCTACTTACTTTAAGATCTCTTGCGAACTCTATTTTCTGTTCTTCAGGATCTTACTGAAGCTGAGGCTGCTATTACGCTGAGGACCTCTTGCATCATTGCGAGGTACATTTTTATTGGGGTTTTGTGCTAATCGTGTAGTTCAGTGGAAATTATCGCTTGAATTTGATTGGATATGATGTTTTGAGGTTATTGTTGTGTTCAATTTGATGGTCGGGTGGTCTGTAATTGGAAAATCATCGGATGGGTTTTTGATGAACTGGGCATCATTTGTTCTGTTGTTTTCTTTTTTTTTTTTTTCCATGAAGCTGCTTTCATGGAGCTTTAGGAATGCTGTTAGTTTTGGTGAAAATGTTCTTGAAATTTCGAGATGCTTTACAAAAAATATCTTCTAATTCTGCCCTGAAATCCCTTCAATTTGGATATGGCCATAAACAGTTCAATTGGTTCAGATCAAGATGTCAAGCTGCAATGAATTGACAGTAGTTTATTGGGCAGCAGATTGCAGCTTGTTTCTCTGAGTCCTCATTAGTTAGTGAAGTTTGAAATTTTTATGCTGTTTGTTGGCTGTCATCTGAGTGGATTAACCATTTGAAAGCTTTGTGGCAATGAAGTGTTAGGAATTACGAACCTCCACAATGGTATGATATTGTCCACTTTGAGCATAAGCTCTCATGGATTTGCTTTGGGCTCCCCTAAAAGACCTCATACCAATGTATTCCTTACTTATAAACCAATGATCGTTCCCTAAATTAGCCAGTATGGGACTCTCTCCCAACAATCCTCCTCTCGAACAAAGTACACTATAGAGCCTCCCTCGAGGCCTATGGAGCCTTCAAACCGTCTCCCCTTAATCAAGGCTCAACTCCTTTTCTAGAGTCCTCGAACATAGTACATCTTTTGTTTGACACTTGGGTCACTTTTGACTACACCTTCGAGGCTCACAACTTATTTGTTCGACATTTGAGGATTCTATTGACATGGCTAAGTTAAGGGCATTGCTCTGATTCCATGTTAGAAATTACGAAGCTCCACAATGATATGATATTGTCTACTTCGAGCATAAGCTCTCATGTTTTTGCTTTGGGCTTCCCCAAAAGGCCTTATACGAATGGAGATGTATTCCTTACTTATAAACTCATGATAATTCCCTAAATTAGCTAATATGGGACTCCCTCCCAACCATCCTCAACCTGAGCTGACTTTATGATTTGGGTTTCAGATTACTGAGTAGGAGTCATGAGAATTGTTAGGAAGATTAAGTCCAAATTGCTCAGATAGTGAGAAGTATACAAGAAGAAGCAAACCTCTCAGCATAATGTATCCATTGGGTCCAATAATTTTTAGTATTTAGTTTTCCTTTCCCAATCGCCTGTTTCTCGAGTAATGATATGTACAATTTCCCCCCATTTTGTGATCTACATGGGGTTTTGACACTAAAGAATAGTTGGCGCATGGTTTAATAAGTCAGTCTATGAAATTTGGGGTCGGGAAGGCTAAATTTATGCCATTGGAGTTTGGGTTGTGCATATGAATCAGCAATGAGAAACTTGGGCTCGTGTTACGTATACTATATGTAGTTTACTTTTCTAACTTTTTTCGATTGTGTTTCACGAGTTTGTATTTTAAGCATTTGATTCTGAAGGGAAATAATATCCTGGCTTGTTTAAACATGTAAAAAAACAGTGCTTGCTTAATCTGAATCATTGGAGCAAAGGAAAATCCAAATGGAAGACTTAAACAGGAATGTTTCTCAGGCTCCTCCAAGTCTGCAAACTCGAAGTTCTCCGGACGGTCCTGTGGCCATCCTTTGGGATATCGAGAATTGCCCTGTTCCGAGTGATGTCCGCCCTGAAGATGTAGCTGGTAATATAAGAATGGCTTTGCGAGTGCACCCTGTAATAAAAGGGGCAGTTATGATGTTTTCTGCGTATGGGGATTTCAATGCGTTTCCTAGACGATTGAGAGAAGGGTGTCAGCGAACTGGGGTCAAACTAATTGATGTGCCGAATGGTCGGAAGGATGCTGCGGACAAGGCTATACTGGTCGATATGTTTCTCTTTGCCCTCGACAACCCTCCCCCATCTTCCATAATGCTCATATCTGGAGATGTCGATTTTGCTCCAGCTCTTCACATTTTAGGTCAACGTGGATATAATGTGATACTCGTCATCCCTTCTGGTGTGGGCGTTTCATCTGCCCTTTGCAATGCGGGGAAGTACGTTTGGGATTGGCCGACTGTTGCTCGTGGTGAAGGCTTTGCACTTTCCCCCAAAATGTTGACTTCCCGTGGTGGAGTGGCTGAAATTTCTGGATATCTCAAGGGATGCCATATCAATGACGATCCAGATGGCAGCCAAAACGAAGAGGAAGCGATTGTCTATGGAGGGGTCTCCCATGGCTATTACAACCTCAGGGATTTCTCAGTAGTAACTCAGTCTTTATCTGAATACAATGGTAATTCGACAGTTCCTTGTGCACCTCCAAGTTTGAGGTCACAGAGTCTCCCATGTGGTCTGAGCGACGTTCCAACGGGTCCCGTTTCATGTGGAGACCAGAATGAGTCCGCTTGGTGGCCGCAAACAGGAGACTTAAATGTTCTGAAGGGACAGTTGGTTAAGTTGCTAGAGCTTTCTGGAGGGTCCTTACCCATCACTAAGGTTCGTGCCGAGTACCAGAGAGTCTTTGGAAGGCCACTTTACACATCCGAGCCCGGTGTCAAGCTTGTGAATCTTTTCAAGAAGATGGGAGATGCCCTCATTGTAGAGGGCAAAGGCAACAAGAAATCAGTCTACATTCGAAACTCGAGATCATGCCCGAGCGCCCCACCTTTGATATTATCAAGGAAAGAAAACAAGAAAGGTAAGGGTACTTCAGAGGAAACTATTGATATTGCTCCAGGAATGGGCTCATCAGACGAATACTCAGAGGAAGAAAGAGTAGTTCATGAAGAACATGACGAGAAGGAAGGTGTAGCAAAAAACAACAACGAGTGCGGTCTCGAGCAGTTCAAACACCAGCTACAGGAGATTCTCGTCAGCTATTCATGTAGAATCTTCTTAGGATGTTTTGAGGCAATATACCTACAACGATACAAGAAAGCCTTGGACTTCCAGAGCCTCGGTGTTCGCGGATTGGAGGAGTTGTTAGACAAAGTAGGCGACGTCGTGGTTTTGCACGAAGATCCAGGAAGCAAGCGCAAGTTCCTGGCTGCTCTTGGTGGCTAACATGATAATGAAGATGATCAGGTAGCTACCTTTGTAAACTACTATTATTGTATGCCATTAACTTGTCAAATAGCTGAAAAGAAATAAGAAAAAAGGAAAAAGAAGCCCATGTTTGTGGTGAGTGCTGCCTGCCACATAGTTTTAGAAAGAGTCGAGTATGGCTGAGGGTGAGGCTGGTTGGTTGCTGTTTTTTCTTCCTCCAGCATGTTCTTCGTGTTCTTCAACATATGGAACCTGTCACTGTGAGTCTCTGTTCCCGATGATCTGCTTTTGGAGATCTTTGTCTGTGTCTGTATATTACTTTCCACTCAAGTTCTAAAATTTATATATACTTTTTTTTTTTTTTTTTTTTAATTTTCCTCTGTTATTAAGGATTGGGGCAAGCGGTATTCTATAGAGGACAACGCTAGCCAAAATTCTTTATGAGAAAGGGTAGTCCTTTGTCCCACGCAACTAACTTGCTCACGTGGTTTACTCTAAAAAAAACCATACTTTCAGAGACCTAAAACAATCTAAACTAATGTTCGGATACTAAAAGATAAAGATTTTTATAAATTTATTAGTATTAATAAAAAAATATCTTATATATTTTATATTAAAGAGTATTATTTCTATAATTTAGCAAAAAAAAAAAAAGAATTAAAAAAATTCCAAGTTGAACAAATGTTGTTCTGATGGAGCCAAACAAGTAGGGTCGGGTTATGGGCCGTACCCCTTGACAATGACCAAAGCTCAAATAATGAAAATCAAACACGAAAATTAATAAATATATTATTTTAAAAATATAATAATTAATAAAATAAAGGGAAAAAAAAGTAGGCGGTGGAAATAGAAGATTAGTAGAGAGTCGGGTGTCGGCCACATGTTTTGGGTTTCGACAGGCGGCATGTTAGGCGGCGGGCGGCTTGAGAGCTGGACGCGGCGGCCTGAGGCCGTGACCCTTCATTGCTTGGAAAGGTTATTATTCCTAATTATTATTTCAATCCACTAATCAGCCCATAATTAAATTTAAATTAAAGTTTAAAAGGTTAGAGAGTAAATTTGTAATTTAATACATAAATTAATTATAATTTTTTAATAATAAATATAAATAACGCTCAATTACTTAAAATAATACATGTTTCTCTCTTATATTTATAAAATAAATAAAAAAATTAACGGTAAGAATTTTTTATTACCTATATATCATAAAAATATTATCGTTTTTATTGTTTTAATTAAATAAAGTTATAAATCGATTTATTAATTATAAAAACTTGACCGAGATGACATAAATTTAAATATTTGATTTTATAAAAAAAATAATTAAGTTAGGTTATTGAAAAGACTTAACTAAGAAGGAATTTGTAATATAAATTTTATAACATCCAAAGGTCATTGACAAAGAAGCAATAATATATTCAATTTGTGATGTAGGTTTTCAACTAAATGAGGTAGAGAGAGTAAGAAATTAATATATTATATTTTAATTTGATTTAATCTCACTAAACTTTTAATAAATATCTATTGCTTTCAGGTTGTTTTCACACCCCTTATAAAAGAATGTTTTGTTTTTCTCTCATACCGATGAGGGATCTCACAATCCACCTCCTTTAGAGGTCCAACGTTCTCATTAGCTCACAACCCACCCCAACCCACCCCAGTTGGGAGCCTAACATGTTCATTGGCTCACAGTCCACCTCCATTGGGAACCCAAAGTCCTTGCTGATTAATCTCCCTATAATGACCTAAATCCACCGCTAGTAGATATTGCCCTCTTTGAGCTTTCCTTTTCAGGCTTCCCCTCAAGGCTTTTAAAATACTTCTGTTGGAAGGTTTCCACACCTTATAGAGGGTGATTTGTTCTCCTCCCTAATCAATGTGGGACCCATTACGTATATTGTCCGTTGCTATTTGTAACAGTCTAAGTCCACTGGTAGCATATATTGTCCGCTTTAACCCGTTACGTATTATCGTTAGTCTCACGGTTAATTAAGAGATGTCCTCTCTCTCAGCTCACAATTAATTAACCTAACATTAAATGATATTTAATACGTAGAAAAGTTGGATTAGAATTAGCCTAACATTATAAAATATTATTAATATGTATATATTAGGTATTAAATAATATTATTGAATACAAGAATTAGAAGGTAAATTTGAGAAGGGAGAGGTGTAAGGCAACCACTTATTACAATCCAATCCTTTCATAGCTTCTCCTAAAAGGAGTGGAAGAGGAAAAGGCAAAAAATAGGCTAATAAATAAAATTATTAATAATTATTTGTGGGAACCCAAAAAAAAAAAAAAAAAGAATGGCCTTTGAAGGCTACCAAAGGTTCTCTAATGAAAGGGAAAGAGAGTCCTTAAAATCTCTCAATTCCCACATCCAAATCCAAATCCAAATCCATCTCTCTGAAACAACCATGTCCTCTCTCTCAGCTCCCTTTCTCTCCCCTCCGGCAGCTTCCACGCGCCGTGGATGGCGTCGAGTTGCGGCAGCGCCGATCACAACAGCGCCGGCGGAGGTGGCGGTGGAGGAGGCGAGGCTAGAGGCAAGAGTGGAGGAGAGAGAAGGGTATTGGGTGGTGAAGGAGAAGTTTAGAGAAGGGATTAACCCACAAGAGAAAGTGAAGATAGAGAAAGAGCCAATGAAATTGTTCATGGAGAATGGGATTGAAGAGCTTTCAAAGTTGTCAATGGAGGAAATTGATGCCTCTAAGCTTACTAAAGACGATGTCGATGTTAGGCTCAAATGGCTTGGCCTTTTCCATAGAAGAAAACATCAATGTGAGTTTCTTTTCGATCTTCGTGTCGATTGTTCGTGGTCGTGGTCGTGGTCGTGGTCTCTCAACTTTCAAAATTAAATAAGAAATTAATTAAAAAAAAAAAGGAGCTAGGAGGGTAAGATAGTGATTTACATCTTAATTTATGTATTTATTGACTAAAGTTGAAATTTATATAATTGAAATTAATTAATTAATTATGTAAAGTTGAAATTAAAAAATATTTAAATGGTGGTTTATTTTATAAATTAATTCATTTTTGGATCTGAAATTGATTATTTTTTAATTAGAAGAATTTTAAGAGAGAGTCTACATTAAATACTTTTATATGCAATTTGATAAAAAATAATAAATGACAAGCGTGCCCTTTTAAAATATTTTTTAAATATTCTCTCAAATTTAATTATTTATTTATTCTAATAAAAATGGTGGTTTTTTAAACAGATGGGAGATTTATGATGAGATTAAAGCTGCCAAATGGGGTGACAACAAGCGAACAGACGAGATACTTGGCGAGTGTAATCCGGAAGTACGGGAAAGACGGCTGCGCCGATGTGACGACGCGGCAGAATTGGCAGATTCGCGGCGTGGTTCTGGGGGATGTGCCGGAAATTCTGAAAGGATTGGCTGGAGTTGGGCTGACGAGTCTGCAGAGTGGAATGGACAATGTGAGAAATCCCGTCGGAAATCCCCTCGCCGGCATTGATCCGGAGGAGATCGTCGATACTAGGCCTTACAACAATTTGCTCTCGCAATTCATCACTGGAAATTCCCTTGGAAATCCTGCATTCACCAATTTGTAAGTTCAATTCCAAATCGTGTATCTAATTTAAACATTTCCCTAAAACCTAGAAGTTGAAGAATCGGAAATTGGTATGTGTTCATCTGAAGAATTGTAGTATGTGATTTGTATGAACAGGCCAAGAAAATGGAATGTGTGCGTGATAGGATCACACGATCTATACGAACACCCTCACATAAACGACCTTGCATACATGCCCGCCACGAAGAACGGACGAATGGGCTTCAACGTGCTGGTGGGCGGGTTCTTCAGCGCCAAGCGGTGCGCCGAGGCAGTGCCGCTCGACGCCTGGGTGCCGGAAGAGGACGTGGTCCCTCTCTGCGGAGCTGTCTTGGAGGCTTACAGGGACCTCGGCACCAGAGGCAACCGCCAGAAGTGTAGAATGATGTGGCTCATCGATGAACTGGTCAGTCTCATCATATTATTCAATACATCCTAACATATCAGTATCATATAGTCCACATTGAACATAAACTCTAAAGTCTACTGATCAAAGGGGCTGTTAAGAATATGAATTAGTGACTAAATATACACTAATGGGTTGATTTAAGTTCTTGATCTGAAAGAAAATGTAGCTCTTGATGCGAAATCTGCTGGTTCTGTGTTGGATTTAAGGTGATTTGATTATATGTACCACAGGGTTTAGAAGGATTTAGAGCTGAAGTAGTGAAGAGAATGCCAAGACAAGAGTTGGAGAGAGCATCACCGGAGGATTTGGTAAAGAAGGAATGGGAAAGAAGGGACTATTATGGAGTGCATCCACAAAAGCAAGAAGGTTTAAGCTTTGTAGGAGTTCACATTCCTGTTGGTCGAGTTCAAGCAGATGAAATGGACGAATTGGCTCGGCTCGCCGATGAATACGGCACCGGGGAGCTCAGATTGACAGTGGAACAAAACATAATCATCCCCAACATTCAAAACTCAAGGTTAGAAGCCTTAGTGAAAGAGCCTCTATTTGACAAGTTTTCACTAGAGCCACCAATTCTCATGAAAGGATTGGTAGCCTGCACTGGCAACCAATTCTGTGGACAAGCCATTATAGAGACGAAGGCTAGGGCATTGAAGGTGACTGAGGAGGTGCAACAGCGAGTCACAGTGAGCCGACCGGTGAGGATGCACTGGACCGGTTGCCCAAATACCTGTGGCCAGGTTCAGGTTGCTGATATTGGGTTCATGGGGTGCATGGCTAGGGATGAGAATAAGAAGCCTGTTGAAGGGGTTGATGTCTTCTTGGGTGGGAGAATTGGGAGTGACTCACATTTGGGAGATGTGTATAAGAAGGCTGTCCCTTGTAAGGACTTGGTGCCCTTAGTTGTGGACATTCTCGTACAACATTTTGGGGCTGTCCCAAGGGAGAGGGAGGAAGAAGAAGAGGACTAAGTTATAGGGCAGGCTGTACCTTTCAAGTTTGGACATATTGGAAGCATTTGCCAAATGGGGCAATACAGGTTTGGTAACATTCAAATACACAGCCATTTTGATGTAACTAATCTTGTAAGTTTGTATTTCAAAGTTTGTAATCATTACCCATATGTTCATTAACTCAGTAATGAAGAAAAGGGCAATAATATTTGCATTCTGCATTTAGTTTAATTACACTCGTTTGAGTATCTGATGTCGATAAACGGTTTGTTCGACATTGTTCTAATTTGGCAAATTGAACTTTACGGATAATCTTGACATTCAAGTGAGAAAATGTATTGTTGAGGATTATACACTCTCTAAAGTTTTAAGTATACAAGAAAGGAAAAGACAACAGCAGGTCTGAGATAAACCTGACCATAAATATATTAATTTTTTCGTTTAAATATATGCGAATAAATTTTAAAATTCCTAAAGTAAATAACAAAATATCCAAGCTGGGCCCACAGAAATCCCCGCTGGCCCAAATTCCACCGAGTGCCAATTTGCGTTGTAATGATGCCACGTCATCAACCTCTCCGTATATATACCTCACTCTTCGGTTCAACTTCTAAACCCCCAATTCCAAATTCTCAATTTCTCTCTCTCATGACCTCTCGATCTCGATCCACGGAATCGCCGGAATCGTATCACTTCTCTCTTCCGCCGCATTCCATGGCGGATAGGTTTTGGCGCGAGCTTCAAATTCCGCTTCCTACATTTGATTGTGCCGCCTCCGCCTCCGCTTCCGATTTCTTCTCCGCTTCTGCAACTACTTCTTCCGTCACTTGTTCGAGTACGGACGCGATTTTCTCTCCCTCTGGTTTCGAGACGTGTAGCGTTTGTCGAATCGATGGCTGTTTAGGCTGCAATTTCTTCCCGCCGTCATCGTCACCGGTCGAAGGCGAGAAGATAAGCGGTAAGAAGCGTTTGAAGAAAATTTACAGAGGCGTTCGACAGCGGCCGTGGGGGAAATGGGTGGCCGAAATCCGAAATCCGAAACTCGCAACCAGAGTCTGGTTAGGAACCTTCAATACTGCCGAAGAGGCCGCTAGGGCTTACGATAAAGCCGCGTTGGAATTCCGAGGGCCCCGAGCGAAGCTTAATTTTCCGTTTACTGATGATTCACTGAGAACAATGAGGCCGGAAAATGAAATTTCGAAGAACGGTAGAAATTCGGCGGCGAATGGAATCGAAAATGAAGATGAAATATGGAGGAAGATTGAGAAGGATGAAATGGATCAATGGATCTCGTCGCTGATCACGGATCACGGCGGCGATTCGTCAGACTCCACCAGTATTGGGGCTTGAGAATTTTCGACTATCCTACTGTTCGAATTTTTAAAATTTCCGTAAGAAAAAATCCACTGGTATTTTAGATATTTTAGGTTTTGGATTTTAAACATCCCAAAAAGTATATCTAAAATCTTCAATCACAAATTTAGTTTCTAAAAATTAAATTTCTTGTTCATCCAACATTATGATACCTTTTTTTATTTTTATTGCTAATTTAGAATTAATTTTAGCTAATTAAAAGGTTATAACTAAAATTTCTCCTTCATTAAACTTATTATTACTTATTTTTTAAAATTAATATAAAATCTGAATTTAAACAATATAAGTTGATCTATTAATTTAATTTATATAATTTAAAATGTATTCAATTTTAATTTCTATACTTGAATATGTTTTCACGTTTTATTTACATAAAAATTAATATTATTATATAACAAGTTTCGATAAAAAAAATTTAATAATTAAATTGTTGAAAAATAAAAAAAATTAAAATAATAGTTTTGTTCATAATTTAATTGATTTAAGTATATCTTTTAAAAAAAATTCACATTAAATAAACGTTTTGAATATTAAATAATTTCTTAATAATTAACGAGTTTAGTTCAGCTGAGCTGGATAATAAAATATAATTAATTACTTAAGGTCAGGAGAAAAAAAAAAACAACAAAAGCATAGATTCCACGTTTCTAAAATGCACCAATAATTTTCCTCCACGTGTTCAAAAGATGGGTTTTTCATTTATTTATTTTTGCCCATGTGGGTTATTCTTTATCCCTTAATTTGGTTTTTTCAAAAAACAAGAAAACATTTCATCACACTCTTCATATTTAGCACGTGTTCTATTTTTTTTATGATGAAGACAAAAAAAGAGTGGTAGTGAAGCAATGATGCCCCCACTTTTTTTCTTTTATTTTTTGAACCCTTAAACAATTTTAATTAGGTTAAATTATATAAATAAATAAAATTAATAAAATCTCTTTGAAGTCTCTAGAGTTTTCGAATAAAACACACTCTTCGTTCGTTATCTAAGTCGTTACGATTATACTTTTGAAGATCATAATTTTTTTATTCGACACTTAAAAATTCTATTGACATAATTACTATTATATTATTAATTTTATATATAAAAGAGACAACGACCTAAGATCCTATCAATTTTAAATAGTTTTAAATTCATATTGTGCTTTCTTTCAATTAATGTTTCCCAAAAGTTTATTAAAAAAAGTATCATGGCAAAATCCAATGTGAAAATACAAAAAGTTTATGGCACGTGTAAAATTACTTTAATAGTTTATTAAAAAGGGAAAAAATAAAAAAAACCCAAGTCTTTAAAAACTATTTTTTAATTTTGAATTTTTAAACAAAACACCCTTCAAAAGTAAATTAACAAAATAGAGAAATTTAAACATTAAAATATAAACTCATTTCTCAAAAAAAAAAAAATTAATGTTAGAAATCTCTTTCAATTTCAATTTCAAAAAAAAAAAAAAAAAAAAAAAAAAAAAAAAAAAAAAAAAAAAAA